TAGCCTATGAAAATATTAATATCTGTTAAAGCTGGATGGTGGATATGCAGCTATTATATTATTGTCTGTAATTTTCTACACATTTGAAATACTTAAATTAAAAAAATAATTTCTCAATTTTCTGCAGGAAGTCCTAACCACCTCCAGGGGAAAAATGGCTTCAAATAAATTAAATACATATCATCTTTTAAATAATAATTAATTCCACTCTGCCTATTTCTTACAATAGCAAAAAAAAAAAAAAAAACCATGAATAAATGAAATTCTTTCTTCGAACCCTAAACCATCATTATTACACTTATCAAAGCTGGATACTTAGATCATTTCCATTGAACAACATACACCAAACAGAACAGGTTGATTATATAGTTCAGAATTAGCTACCCCATTTTGAAAGTCCCTTCCAGAATATGAACCATATTGAAACAAATTTAGTATTCTTGAAGCCAAAAAAAAAAAAAAATACAACTTCTGTGCTCTGCCTTTTCAAATAATAAAATTATATTAGTGTTAATAGTGTGGGGAAACAATTTTAGTTAGCATAAATGGATTTCAGGTAATTGGCTTGTGTGTTTCATCTAATACTTAGTATTACAGTTCAATTCTAAATTCTAGATATAAACATCAGCTTTCCTCCAATTTAAAGTTGTTGATTTGTGTGACAGTCCTGTAGTAAACTCTTATTGGAAAAACACATGGTTAAAAGAAATAAACACTGTAAATCATATATTATGATAATGTGTTACTTAAACCTTTGTTTTAAAAAAGTAGAATGTTATCCTTTTATGTATATCTTAATTTTTAAAAACAAATACAAATTTTAAGAATTTTATTATTATAAAAGTGGCTACATGAATCATAATTATGTTAAAACTCACAGAAGTCAAAAAAAAAAAAACCAAAAAACCTCACAGCACTGAATACCAAGTCAACTTTACTATAGGATAGTTTTGAAATAATTAAAAAGTTGAATAAGAAACAACAAAGAGAGCCAATAACAACAATTTATAATTATTTTACCTTGATATTTACAAGCCACTAATATTCATTATTTGGCCAAGGATTATTATGGGAAATAAAGATGAGGTAACTAATTTAGAAAGGATATATATTACATGCGATTGGAGTTGGGACTTCTAACAAGTTCAGTGTTTTGCAATCATAACATATGTATCATAAAAAATAGCTACTTAAGATCTCCAAAATCTTGTTTCTGTTTAAAAGATTCTTTTAGTGAAAATACTAAATATTGTATAAATTCTGATGTAGTATGTCTTAATTTATAAATCACTATTTTCATCATCACAAAAACCAACCAAAAGAAAAAGCATTATTATTGAAAAAGGAAATAAATGATATTCAAAAGATTTTATTTGAGAAAATTTGTAGGAGTGAACATTCATAAATGAATAGAAACAAGAGCATAAATTACTATGCGGATGAGATAACAATATTTATGGAAGAACTGTACAAAGTAAAGAGCTATGCAAGTTTAATGTATTATCCACCTCCGAAGAATATTGGGCTTCCTAAACATCAGAAATTTCCATAACCTTATAAAGGACCCTAAGATTTTCACCTAGAATTAAAGAGAAGGGTAGGGACTTCTTAACAGAATGTATACAACAAATAATATGTGTACCTTTTAACTACCCAAGGGAAATGGAATTTTCTACTTTTAAAAATTAAGTTGGTTTTAAGAAAAGTCCTAGTGCTTTTGTTGTAAAAATATAATTTGCAAATCCTAGGACATAAATGCTCAATAAGATCTTTTTTGTCAAACTGTTAGATCAAGGGCCTATATAAGATTTTTGGAATGCGGAAGCTGGTTTGAATTTATGAGCTAACTGAAAAAGATTATAGTTCCCCAACAACAAAAAAAGTTAATTTCATATAGTGCTGTGTGGGAGTTGTGATGCTTGAAGAGATAAAGAAAGCTCTTTGAAGCAACATAGAACCAAACCCCATGTCCAGAGAGAAACCTAGTCTGGTCAGACACAACCACTGCATCATTCATGTGGAAGAACTTAAGATGTAATCATCCATGGGTCCCTCAGGAATAAGGCACTTGTTACTAGGCCGAAAAAGGTCCATCTACCTCTCACAGGAAAGGTGGTTGTACCTGACAAAAATATCCCATTTCCTGGCCCAAAGAGGAGACCATATTAAGGACTAGTTTCAGAAGTCTCTCCCAGAACTCTCCCAGGATTGTGGGAAGGGTTCCAACGCCAATCTGAGAACACTACCTTGATCAGCTCACTTTGGATAAATCTAGATAAAAAAATCACCAAGTTTGTGAGAGTGAAATATTTTAAAATTCTACCATAGGTATTTTAAACCATTGGTACTACGATGGAAGGCAAATAACTGAAAAATGTACCTGAGCATATTTTCTTTCCTAGACATGGTGTGCAAGTCCTGAGTGGACCTTTCAGACTTGCTAAATGATCCCTTAATTTTTCACTGGGCTTCAGAAACTAGTTGGAGATACTTATTTGAAGTTAAAGATAGCTCATGCAGCAATTCATGTAATCATAACACAATAACAAATCCTATGTATACTGCCATTAGTTTGTTTCAAAAACTTCACAACCTCAGGACAGCCCTATGAGAGAAACAGATACCTTTACTTCAGTTTTACAGATGGTTTCTTGGAAGACCAGAGAGAATAAATGACTTGGGCTAGTTCATCTATTAAGAGGTAGAGCAGGACTGAAAACCTGGACTCTCCGGGGCAATCTATATGATGATGTAGAGCAGGAGTGGATCAGACTTTTGCCTGATGCCCAGCTCTGTTATTTACTAGGTATGTCACCTTGTGGAAGTTACTTAACCATTGTTAAATCCAGTTCCCACCTGTAAAATGGAGCTGATAATCCCTAATTCAGAGAGTTTTTAAAAGGAGATGCCGTGTGCACTTCACAGTAGTATCTAGCTATTTCTGACTCCCAGTACAGTGCTCCTTCTACTCAAGAATGGCTTGGCTGCATCAATGCTGGGAAATGGTTAATCTTTTCAAGTCTTAATTTCTGCATTCCTAAATGAACACCTACTTGAACACACTGCTGATTTTTTTTTTAAAGAATACCGTAACATATCCTTCCAAGCTAGCAAATTTGTGTTTTCATAACTGTGCTTCATTTGCTATTTGTGGACCATGCTTTGTATAGGGAAACAATATTCTCCATCATACAGGAAAGCATAAAACTATCAGGCTCATAGCTATAAATAAAAACACAATTTCCCCATAACACTCCAAAAACAGGCACATAGATTAATATGGCTACAGGAGCCATGCACTCCATATGACAATCACTTGGCTATTTCAGGTATTAACTTGTCTATAACCTTAACAACCTTGCCACTTGTAGTTTTACCTAATTAAAACCTTCTGTTTAATTTGATGATTTTTAAGGCTATGTTCATTTATAATCCAAGAAAATACAACATTAACATGCTGCCCTCCAGAGAAGTAAAAAAACAGGATGAAAGCTTTTCTAAAATCCAGATACCAGGTGCCATGTGCTACCAGAATCTATGCTTCTTGTGGATGGATTGTGGTGCAGAAACATCACTGGCCAGCTAATGGATGTTCCAGATCTAAAAAAGGAAACATTTCAACTTTTCAGCAGGATAGCGGATAGAACAGAATATTACACATGGCGGGGTGAGGGGAATGAGAAAGTAATACGGCTAAAAGGAATCAACGAGATAGTGGCAAATCGATATACTCACCAAGGAGCAACCAAGGCTTAATAACACCAACATGCAGGTCCAAGCTAAGGTCCTGCACATAACCACAACTACCCCCACTGCTCGGCTCTACTTCTTCCACAACATGAATTCTGGCATCTTTCCATGTTTCTATAATTTTCCTTCCAGTTAGCGTTGTCACCCTGGTACATTGCTTCCTGAGATTATTCCGGGAGAACGCTTTAATTTCCTGGTTAAGGGAGTGCATTACATGAGCAGTGGCTAGAAACAATACAAGCAAATCTAGCCAACGGTGGAAAAGGCCAAACTGCTCGTCCCTTAGCGCTCAGAGAAAAAATAGAGCCGCAGGTGTGCAACCCTGTCCAGGTAACAGCAGCCACACACTGCAGACAAAGACCTCCAGGTCCGTTTTCCCCAGCACCAGCAAGTAAGGTGAAGTTTGATTGGCCTTTGAGAAACGGGCCCCGATTGGATGCTGTTTCTTCTTCCGGTCAGCCGAAAATTAGCATTACTTCTACCGTCTCAAGGAATTCGCTAAGGGATTTCTTACTGTTGCTTTTTAAATCTAGCTTTATTTTTCACGTAAAATGGTAAAATAGAAGACTTAGTTGGAGAGACGTCTGATATTTCCTCACTATTTGAAAGCAGGGATTTTCCTGCTGTGTTTGGTTGGTGTCATTTGTGATAGTGACCATGAACAAAAAGGGCTGATGTAGGTATTGCTCCTGCTTTAGCGAAGGGGCGAAATCATAGTGCAAACAGTTCTACTTCGCATAGCTTCTCTTGTCTGCCTGGATGTCTGTCAAAAGTAACTTTTCACTTATGTCTTGTACATTTTATGCTATCACTGCTAAGAAAAACGTTTGCTGCATAAGAACTGTTGTATTGAGAGGAGCTTAAGATATGTTTTCCAATTTTTCCCGTTTTCACCATCAGTAGAACCTTTATGCAGTGGATATGCATTCTTTGTAAATAAAGCATATCCTCAAGTCTTCCATTCATAGTTTCCAAAAAAAAACTGGGCATGCAAACATAAATTTACAAAACAGATCAATTATGAAATGGTGATTCTGCTTTCAAAAGGATGGTTTGTTTTGCAAAAGAAATCCCAAGAATACTTTAAATAGGAATTTTCCTTATCCCACTTAAAATGCATTATCCCACTTAAAATCCAATTTTAAGTGGACTTACACACAATGTATTTACACATGTGTAAAGAAGTTGCACTTAATGAAAACTTCTCTAACACTGCATATCAAACTTTTTGTTGTTTTGAATTTTTCTGATGTAGAATTAAAATAAACCAAATCTCCCTGTTGAAGAGTGAGCTATAAGCCCAGGCTATCTACAAGACACCCTAAAATGAAGAACTGAAAGCAATGATTTGCACCATTTAAACAATCACAGGTTCATTAAAATCAACTCTAACCACACATTATTCCGTATGTTTATTATACAATGATAAAAGAACTATCAACGCTTGAGCACTTCCTACTTGTTAGGAACTGTGCTTGCAAGCAGTTTTCAGATTCTCACTGTTATCTATCGGTGCTTAATGATGCTTTACACACATTATCCCTTTGATCTCACCACAAGCCTATTATGAATATTAAAATCATCTACATTTTACAACTAAGCAAACTCAGGTGCAGAGAGAGCAAATAACATATCCTACACTTCACAGCTCCTAAGTTTATAATTACAAATAAAACCTACGTTTGTTTTAGTCCAATGTGTTAGCTCTTATTTTCTTTGGAACAGTGCCCTGCTCCCCCAAAATTATAGTTAACAAATATTTATTGAGTATCTGCTATGTGCCAGGCACTGTCACAGTCACTGGGGATATAGCAATGAATAAAAACAAAGTCCCCTCTTTCTTGGAACTTATATCCAGGTGGAGAGAGCAGATGGACAGGCAATATATAAATATATAACCATGTTAGGTCATGATTTAAGTGCTAAAAAGAAAAATTGAGTAAAATAAGGGAACACAGGAAAAGGGCAATGTGCTACGTGCTATGAGTTGGTAAGAGAAGGCCTCTCTGATAAAGTGAAATTTGAGCAGAGACTTGAATAAAGTTCAAGAGCCAGCCCCTCCCAGCCATCTGGGAGATGAACTTTGCGAATGGAAGAAACAGCAAGTGGTGAGACAGAAGTGTAGTGGTGGGAGGAAGGAGATGGAGACGTTCAAGAAACTTACAGGTGGCTAACGTGGCTTTGGGAGGTGAGTGAAGGGAGAGCGGTAAGAGATGAGTTCAAGGGAAAAATGATAAAGACTTTGGGTTTTATTCTGAGTGAGATGGGAAGCCACTGGAGGGAAATGGGTAGAGAAGTGGTAGATCCTGTGCTGTGCTACCTGGATCCCCCTTCCGTGAATGCCTGTAGTCTGGGTGTGCTTTTGGCTGAAAGTCAAGAATGCCTTTGGGACTGCCTCAGCTTCAGAGACCTCCTTGCCTTCGGTTGTGCCTTTCACAGAACAGGCCACATCCCTGTCCATGATGAGGGAGCATAAAGGTCTGGCATCTTAGCCCAATTTGAAACAACTCTGAAGGGCACTGTAGCTCTACAGGCCAACATGTATTTGGCCAAGACTGTCAGTGGGCACGCATAACCTTTGTACTTCTCTGTCCAGTCCTGATCCTTCCCTTCCCTTCCACAAATGTTGATACCAAGGGCAATCCTTAAAAAAGTCTTGCATGCTGGAACTCCACCCCAGTCTGCTTCCAGGCAAGTAACATGATACTATGCTTATGCTGCAGAAGGATCTTTCTAGCTTCTTTGAGGAGAGGGGGTAAAATGGCAGCAAGGAGATGTGTTAGGAGACTACTGCAAACATCCACATGAGAGAAGATGGCTGTTTGGGCTAGAATAACAGCGGAGGGAGAGGGAACAGTCAGGTTCTAGATATATATGAGAATCAAGCCAAGAGAATTTATGACCAGATTAATGTGAAAGAGACTAGGATAATTACAAGGATTTTTGGCCTGAGCAACTAAAGAGGCGATTTTCCATTTACCAAGAAAGGGGTGATGTGGAGATGAAAGGTTCAGTTGGGGATATGTTAAACTTAATATGCCTATGAATCAACCAAGTAGGTATGTCAAGTGGGCAGCTCAACTATATGAATCTGGACTTCATAGGAAAGATCTCTGCAAGGCGTGTACATTTTGGAGTAATCAGCTTAAAGATGCCTTTTAAAGCCACAAGAGTATGGGGCGCCTGGGTGGCGCAGTCGGTTAAGCGTCCGACTTCAGCCAGGTCACGATCTCGCGGTCCGTGAGTTCGAGCCCCACGTCAGACTCTGGGCTGATGGCTCAGAGCCTGGAGCCTGTTTCCGATTCTGTGTCTCTCTCTCTGCCCCTTGCCCGTTCATGCTCTGTCTCTCTCTGTCCCAAAAATAAATAAATGTTGAAAAAAAAAATTTTTAAGCCACAAGAGTAGATAAGATCTAGTAAGGAAGAGTGACAGAGAAGCCTCACCCCTCATTCACAGGTGAGGAAGAGGAGGAAGATCCAGCAAAGAAGACTAAGAAGGAGAGGCCCAGAAGATAGGAGGGAAAAGAGAGAGAGAAGTCAGAGAGTACAAATAAAGTGTCTCAAGGAAGACAGTGTGATCAACTGTTACATGCTGCTGATCGTGTTGATTAAGATGGAGAGTGAGCACTGCTACTGGATGTAAAGACCTCCTTAGCAGAAACAGATGCTATGTCCCAGCACTATATGAACGGTATCTGATTCAATCCTCATGACAACCCAATGAGGTAGGTAATATCTACTGCAGTTTTAAAGAGAAGGACATTAAATTGAGAACTGAAGGAACTTGCCTTTGGTCACAGAGTTTGGGTTTGTTTGTTAGATTCGAATAACAAGGATGAACACAGTTCCATCTTACTCAAAAGCGTGTGCTCTTTACACCACATCATTCTACAGAAGATGGGTAGAATCATTGGCTACACATTGATAGCTCCAGTCTCTGATGATAGTTCTGTAAGATTAATATGCCTGCAGTAGCGTTGGACACTAAGACACGGATTCTATTCACTGACTCTATCCAACTCAACCCTTCATTTTACAGAACAACAACCAAGGTCCAGAGAAGGAAACTGATTTGTCTAATAGCACATCACTTGTGATTCCAGGTCCCTTGACTCAAATTTTACTGCTTGTTCTATTTCAGTTTATGGTTTTCCAAAAAGTCCTTTAAGGTCAAAACTCCTTTCCACATAGCTAGTCTGGATGCAGAGGGACTGGGAGAAGCACCACTCTCTCAGGCCTGGAGAATTGGCAGAAGAGAAAGAAGAGGCAAAAGATTATGAGACGCAGTCAGAGGAAGAGGGCAGCATTCCATCCATGCAGGAAGCATTGCCTATCCTGGGACGTGACTGGTAAGGGGTTATCCTGAAAGACGGGCACATCCTTACAGGGGCTAAGAGGCCCTGGGCTGGGCCAAAGGGGAAAGTGTGAAGTGAATACACCCTGGAATATATTCCCATGACCCCCATATAGTTTCTCTCTTCTAACAGATTTAGAGTATTTATGCCAAGTACTAGGTATTTTTTTTTTAATTTCTTTTTATTTTACTTTTGAGAGAGAGAGACAGAGCGTGAGCAGGGGAGGAGCAGAGAGAGTGGGAGACACAGGATCCGAAGCAGGCTCCAGGCTCTGAGCTGTCAGCCCAGAGCCTGATGCAGGGCCTGAACCCACAAACCATGAGATCGTTACCTGAGCTGAAGTCGGAGGCTTAACTGACTGAGCCACCCAGGCACCCCTTCTTTGTTTTTTAATATGCAAAAATATTATTTTTTAAAAAGCTAAAGAATAAAGGTTATATACAAAAGGGACCTGAAATCTTTAAGCTGATTCTAAAAATGAAATGAGTAGAAAATCTGTGGTGAAACCAGAACATTCCACCCCTGTTTTGGAAAAGGGCTATTATACAACATTCAGTCAGGTGAGGATGGATTGGTAGAGAGGTATCTATATATACATTTTCAAATCATTTTTGCTTCTGCAGAATCATCCAGATCTTCCCAAGACTGAATGGGCAATCCTGTGGCTTAATTCCTTTTCCATAGTCCCAACAAGGCCACATGACATTCAACTCTTGATGAACCACTTACAACGGCAGTTCCTTAAGCGCCAACACAACAGGTGGGGCAGATTTCCCTATGAGAAACTGGCCACCTACAGCAAAGTATCAAAACGGACAAAGTCCTTCTTTCCTCTTCCTTCTGATTATTATACCAGGTATTTTCTAAGCATTATCTCTAATCATCACAAAAATCCCGCCTTTAGATAAAGTAAGTAAAATGCAAAGACTTGGTAAGCAGTGGATCCAGTATTTGATCTCAGGTCTGTTGGATCCCAGTGCCCACTTTCATCCGCTACATTACACATTCAGACATACTACATGATAAAATCAT